CACCAAAATAAAAAGAGAATTTAAAGTTCCAGCTTTACCTTTGAGTGATTGATATGAAAGCACAATTGGAAAATAATTCAATTTCAGAAAAGAGATTGGAAGGGTTTGGGCTAGCGGTTCATATGAAGAGAAAATATAAAAAATAAACATTTTGGTCAAAAATAACTATATGGATATTTTGGGCATTTTCATGTCTCATTCCCATCCCCGCTAACGAGGACAAAGTTATCCCCATCCCCGTGGGGATTCAAACATATTCAACCATATTTTTAAAACATTAATATATAAGCATATATGTACATATATACATATATATTGGTGGGGATCCCGCGGGCGGGGATCGGGGTTCCCACGGGGCGGGGAATGCTCTCTCCGTGAAAATTTCCCCATCCCCATCCCCGCCCCATTTGGGGTGGATCCCCACGGAGATCGGGGAAATGGGGAAAATTGCCATCCCTACACTCAACTATGTTAATATATATACATATATATTAGGGGAGGTGATTGCAATTACCCAACTTCAGGGAAGGTTTAAGCAACAACCAGAAACTTCAGGGAGATTTCAGTAATTTACCCTATTAATTACATTTTAGATGATGGTGATTAGATCTCATTGAATGGAATGATAGAACCAAATGCATGTTACTACTTGAGAGAGAGAGAGAGAGAGAGAGAGAGAGGATTTTAATGGTTTAATTATTTGTGTAATCTCAGCATTTTGATGGTAATTAGATCTATTGAATGGTGGAACCAAATGTGAAGGAATTTCTACTTGAGAAAGAGTCTAGACTACTCCATGTGGGTAAAAGAGATATAGGTAGCTGAAATATAAAGAATGGAGAATGACCATTCAGCCCAGGGTCAGAATTTATAGGCCCAAAGTACAGTTGGGGTAGGTGCCAGCTCAGAATTGATGCCAATTCATGGGCCCGTATGGGTGCATAAAATGTGGGTTTTTGACCTTTTGAATATTTATAGATTTGCAGGGTCATTCAGAAATCTACATTAGGCCTGCCCTTACTTTTCCGTAAAAAATATCAACCTCCTAAAGAAAAAGACAACTCATTGCACAAGGCTACTGCCAATGCAGGGTTTGGGGAGAACAGATGTACGCAGCCTTACCCCTATATAGAGAGACTGTTTCCAAAATTTAAGCTATAATCATCCAAATTATGTGTATATCGGCACCATAATTTGGATACTATTAGTTTATAAACTGTTAAGCACATATTAATGTTTAACTTAGCAAAAAGATGTTGGATTTGGATCTGATATTAGTGGATTTGAAGTCATGATTAATACTTGGATTCAAAGATTATATATATTATTATAGAAGGAAGACAATCACATGGTTTTTCCTATGTTTTTTTTATATTTTTCAAAATTTCTTAAAATTTAATTCACACATGAGATCAAGTGTGTGTGTCCCATCTCCATCTCCTTTTTCATATATTTGTTTTTCTCTCTATCTTTTTGCACTATATGACCAGTCACCATAGTACACCTCTCTCCTGACTTTGTATTCCCAAAACTCCTTTTTTATCTGTTCCTATTCATTTGATGTGAATTTTGATGACTCGATGAGATTTCTTACACCATACATGGGATCAACCTCATTAACCATTTACTGAAGATTTTGAAAATCATACTATTCTGGACCCATCAAATGACCTTGTTGATGAATCAAGTACTTTAACCATCCAATCAGTCATCTAATCAAGGACTCTGATGTAGGAAATGGTGTACTATTGGGTATTATTTTGGTTCAAACATATAACAACTGACTCGGGGATTCCATATGAAAGACAAAAGACAGGACTAAGACTAAAATCTATGTGATCAGATGCCCTTAGATCATCAAATTGGTGTTTCATTGGTAGAGTTTTCAAACAATTAAGTTTGAATCAGCCTTTTGGCCACTTCAAATTATTTGCTATAAAAGCACACATTTTGGTTAAGAATCTAAACTCTTAAGTGTATTTTATGCTACAACACACCTTACACTATTTCTTAAGTGTATTTTGGTTAAGAATCTAAATCTTTGTGTATTTTGGTAAAGAATCTCTTCTATTACTATTATTTTCTTCTGATTAAATAGCAATTTTGTTGCTATTTTTCTTTCTTCTCATTGGCCCACCATTAAGTGTATTTTATGCTACAACACACCTTACACTTCGGCTTGTTCTTCTCTTCTCAATCATTTCTTGAATTGGTTGCTTATTCAGATGCTGAACTGAACTAATTGCACAACTGATAGGTGTTCTATTGGTGGCTATGTTCTGTCTTGAGCAACAATACTATCTCACATGGAGATGAGGAGCTCTAGAAAGCAGCCTACTATTGCAAGATCCAATACTGAATTTTAATTTTGTTTCTTGGTTCTTGTTACAATTGAGTTATTACTTTGGGTTTTCTACCCACTTAACTGATCCAATTTTTAATAAGTTTCCATCTTGCTCCATTGCATGGTGTGATAACATATATAGGTGCAACTTATCTTGCTACTCATCAAGTGTTCCATGCTCGCACCAATCTTGTGGAGGTTGATTTTCACTTCCTCCTATAGGATCACATTCTCAAAACATCTTTATAATAAGTTCAGTATCTCTCAGCTATTAATCAACTTTCTGATGTCCTACCAAAGCTGTTGTTTAATCACAAAATTGAACATTTATGGTCCCCCAGTGTTTTCAATCCATTGTTGACCTGGCTGATTGAATCGCTCAAACCGTTGCCCAGTCAAAATTTCAGGTCTGGTTTTAGTAAAACCTAGTGGATGGTCAAAAATCATCCAACTCGGACGGTAGACCGTTGACCCATTTGACCCAATGAATGGGTCATGGGTTGCACACTAAATGTTTATGCAAAATTCAGGAGGCCATCACTTTGCACTTCGATGTCCAATTGAGGTGATTTTTTTTTTTTGGGTAACTTTTCAATATCTATGCATCCCAAGGCACCATAGGCGTCTTGCCCCGCTATCTCCATTTTTTGCCTCAAATTGCAATTTTTAATATTTTTTTACAAATATTAAATTTAAAACTAGTGGTGGAAAATGGGTGGATTGGGTAAGGGTTGAATACCAACCCACACATATTGACCCACCAACCCACCATGACCCATCACCAATCCTTGTTAATGGGTCATAACCCACCTTGACACTCACCCACCCATATTGACCCAATTACCCATCCATATTAACCATTATCCACCCTCACTCATATTGGCCCATTTAGCCTTTCCTATAAATGCAGATTTTTTAAATGTATTTTAGCCAAAAAATTACATAAAAATACAGAAATTAATAAAAATTTCATATATATACACACACCAAAAAAAGTAGAATTGCAAATACATTTGAGCCAAAAATCAGAAAATGCAAAGTAAACTACAAAAATTAATAGAGAATTGTAAAAAATATAGAAATGCACAAAATGTAAAAACACAAAAGCATAGAAAATGCAGAAATTTTTTGTAAAAAATTATATAAAAATTGTAGAAAATGCAAATTGGGAGAAGAGGAGAATGTTCTTCCACTAAGGCTGCATTTGGAGACGATGCAAATGGAGTGTAAATCCTGGTTTTGGATAAATTTACACTCTGGTTCACTTTTGCCTGTGTTTGGCAACATTACACTTTTGTATTGCCAAATGACAGACCAATGCATATTTACATTGATAATAAGATGTAAAAGTACATCAATAAAAAAGAAGTAAGTTTGCATTCAAGTGGGCTTTTGATAAAAAAAAAAGCATATGCTTTATTGGAATTCGTGTTTGCATCCATTACAGCTAAACTAACCCAACTTTGGTAAGAAGGTAAGCTTGTCAATGCAAAACTAACCCAACTTTGCAATTTATATGAACCATTTTACACTCTTCATATTTGCATCCTTTCCAAATGCAGCCTTAAGCAAAAAATCCACTGTCAAAAAGCCTTAGTTATAGAGATTGAACAAAAGGCCTTAGGCCCCGTTTGATGATTAAGTACTTGTTTCACAAGTACTCCTTAGAAGTACTTATTTTAACAACCACTTAAGGTCGTTTGGTAACCCACTTTTTAAATCACTTATTATGTTTTTAAGCACTTATTGGGGTGAGAATGTTTGGTAAGCTACGTTCCCCATAAGTGCTTATATTGACACAAATGACAATTTTAACCCTCACTTCACTCATTTTCAACATCATTATTTGCATAAAAAATAATTCAAACAATGTAAAAAATATACAAAAATGAAGAAAAAACAGGGGAGTTTCAAGTTAGAAAAAAAACCAAGAAGAATGATACATTTCTTCATTAGAAACTGCTCATATTTGTCACTAATTTACCCACTTTTTTGAATTTTTTTGGGGTATCTTCTTTCCTTGTTTCTCGGTTCCAATTGAAGTTTTTCGAGCTTCAATTCCAATTTCTTTTTCTGAGTACCAGTATTTCATCCCCTTTTTTCATCTGCTTTTGACAATAGAATAGTTTTTCCTCCTTTATGGATTTTTGGGTGTATCATTTTCATCTCTGTATCAAGAAACTAATTGAATCTCGACAAACCGATACATCTCCTCATGTTCTTCTTCTTCTTCCTCTGCAAAAATATCTGCTTTGAAATGGAGTTCGATTAATTTTACGTTTTAATTACCTGGAGTTCGGCAATACCATGCACAATAAAAAAAAAAGGAAAAAGAAAAGTCGCTAGTAACAATCACATACACAGGCACAGTCTATAACTCTTTCCATTTTACAATTGCAATTTCAGACTGATGAACTGATCCATCATCATCTATATATGCTCTATATAGATACAATCACCTTCCACTCTTTTCCTTTACCAATACTCATTCACCGTCACCGGGCAATCATCATCGTCAGGTGGCGAAGACACCAGAAATCTCAATAGTAAATACACCAATAGAGTCTCTTCTTCGTCCTCAAAATTGTCATCTTCATCTTCATCTCTCTCCCCCTTTTCACCTTCAACCCACCTCCCAACCCCTACAAGGAGAACCATGGAAGAAGTATGGAAAGACATCAACCTCACTTCTCTCAATGACCACCATGCAGCTGTAGCTGCCACTGGCACCAGAGAATCAACCCTTCCCAAAGTCTCCAACACTGATACTACCAACTTCCGTGGTATGATTTTTCAAGACTTCCTTGCTCGACCCTTCAACACTATTGATCCACCAACAAGCATTGTCTCCGTTAATCCCACAACTTCTTCTGATGTCACTACCTTCACTTCTCCACCACCACGGCCCCCTACTGTCTTAAGTTTGAATTCGGGCCCAGAATTTCATTATCTTGACAACACCGATTCGTTGAGGCCACACTTGCAATTATATGGCTCTGGCAATGCAACTGCTACACCCTTGTTTCTTCCTTCCTTGAATGCTCCTTTTGACTCTTTCGGTTCTTCTTCGGCCTTTTCTCCATTTTGCCAAAAAAGGGTTCCGGACACTAATGAAAATTCTGGAGATCGATGGCAAAAGCGCATGCTCAAGAATCGAGAATCTGCTGCTCGGTCTAGAGCCAGAAAGCAAGAATTTATTTTTTCAATCTCCTCCTCTCAATCTACTTTGTTATTTGTCTCAAGGTAAGAGACAATCAACAGTAGCTTCAATTTGAAACCCAGATCTCCCACCCTACAACGGTGGGCTTAAAAAATAGGGAAAATGATGCTTAAACAATGTCAAAACAATACCCTTGTGTGGGGGCATTTTGGGTATTAAAAGAAAATAATAGGGACTAGTTCCTCCCATTTTTTTAGAGAAGTACATCTTCAAGAAGTACTTAAAAAAAGCCAACTTGAAGTCACTTTTTCAAAGTACTTCTTTCCCATTTTTTCACCAAACACCCATAAGTACTTAAAAACCACTTAATGTGTGGCCCCATGTCCTAAAAGAAGTACTTTTAAGTGTTCTCAAACACTACCTTAATTTTATATCCATATATAATTATTTTTTGCAATCATTGAATAATGAACATAGGGAAAACAAGAAATTGTGGAAAATTATGGAGAAACTAGAAAAGAATCAAATAAGAATGGACAAATTAGCAAACTAAAGGCAAGGATCATCATTGGTACAAAGGCGTTCATCGAGCATTAGGTGTGATTGGTGAACAGAGGTGGAAGAGGAGAACAGAGGGAGCATCGGTGATGATTGGTGAAGCTTCAGACTTGCAAACCCTAATTCCTTGTCTTCTCAACAAATTGGTGTTAGGAGATAGATTCAATCTTCTCTTAGTTAGAGTAGAAGAGCATGTTGGACTTTTAGAGTAGCATGCCAACATTTGAGGGGGTGGAAGAGGAGAACAAAGGGCGGCGACTGAGTGAAGCTTTGAGCATCCAAACCCTAACCATTTGCAACTTCAATCCTTCATCAATCCCTAACTAACATAGATGATGAGAAGAGAGGAGAAGAAAGGTAGCGATCGAGTGAAGCTTCAAGCTTCACCTACCTTAGAACTAATGAAGGTGAAAGGTTAGAGAGAAAACTTCAAGCCCTAGACATTTGAGAATGGCGAAGTGGTTGAGAAACATTCAAATTTTAGAAGTTTCAAACCCTAAACAGACTATAGGTCCTCCGATGAAAGTATGAAACCTCAACCCAACCCACCCTGACCCTAATGGGTCATTCGACCCATCTTGACTCGTTGTTGTAATGGGTGGGTATACGTGTGGAACTTTTCTTGTCTAAAATACTCATATTTGTGTATTTAGTCCATCTCCAATTATGAGGATTGAAAATGTAATTTCAATTAATACTTTTCACATCATTTAATCCCCTTTCATTGAGTCTTATATTTAAGGTATTAACTCCCATTCTTTCTTTTAGATCATATATTTAAGTTATCTTTTCACCAATAAATGCTACTAATTATATCTATGTCCAATAATTTTAACAATATAAATACATATATTTTAAAACATACTCAATAACAAAACCATTCTTTATCCAAGTGATGACTAAGCAATTCAACCATTCATATCAAAATGGTCAACCCATGAAGTCATAGTCAAATAATAAAATTTTTAAATAGAACTAAATATAGAAAATTACAAAAGTTAGAAAAAACTAGACGCATTTATAATAATTTTCTTAATCAAAATAAAAAATAACTGTAATAAACAAGAAGTATTTTTAGGGGTTTTTATTGCTCACTCCATCTCAGAATTCATAATATAATCACAATAAGATCATATAGTTTGGGTTAATATCATGGGGGGAAGAAGCCAAATTCACCGGGGGGATGGTGTATATAGGGGGAGCTAGGCATAAATATATTGGGAAAAAATTGACCAATTCTGTGGTGGATTGAATCGTAAAAATCCCTTATTTTTATTAATGATGAAAATGAAATACATATATAATTAAAAACTAACAAAAAATGAAATTATTTTCCTATTTGGTAGAGATCAATAATTCAACTTTTGGGTCAAATGTGTCAGCATTTAATATCATAATTAAATAATAAAATATAAAACACAAAAAATGAAAAAAATACATAAATTTTACAAAAAAGAAAACATTTAGAAACATGTATAATATCATATTAAACAAGAAAGTATACATAACATAATTATTTTTACACAGAGAAATAAAAAAATTATAAAATTTTTTGAACACATTTGTAATTATATATTTACACTACTATTAAAAATATGAATAAGATTGTGCAACTTTCTTTTGACTAAAATATCCATTTTTTTAATTTAATCCCTATTTAATTGTGAGGTTTAAAATGTAATTTGAACTACTACTTTTTAACTCATTCAACTCTCTCTCTCTCTTTAAAGCTTAGATTTTTTTATGAATGAACAAAAAAACGATACACTAAGAAGATAAAAAATTACAAAAAGAAGAGTCTAGCAAAGTAGTTAGGCCTGTCAATGATACCTAAACCTTTGCAGCCCACTATGGGGTGTTTACATAATCGGATTCAAATTTTGCAATTTACATCTAATTAACATTGAAAACAAAAAATATAAAAAAAAATACATGAATTTTATAGAAAATTTAGGATACATTGTTACTATCATTATCATCTAGAATTACCATGTGCAAAGAACGTGCACATTTTCATCAAAAGCTTGTTGTAAAAAACATTTGAATACATCTCTAATATTCTATATTCATTATATTAAACAAAAATAAGTATGACAAATATGAATAACTTTTACAGACATAGAAATATAAAAAATATTGTAAAAAATTTTGGAAACATAATATTTTCTATCATCATCATAAAAAATTGCCACACATATATAATTTATGCATTGCTAACATGGTACACCCATTCAACCCGGATGGTCAAACCAGTGACACGCAACCCAGAGGCAAAAATGAATCGGCCTCAGGTCAGTTTTTAAAACATTGGTCCAATCTTCATGTCCTCTCTAAACAATTTTGCTTGAGGCGGTACCTAATAAATCAAGCAACACCCAGCGTATTGAATCGTATTAATTACAATCGTATTTAACAATTTTGTTAAATTTATCATTTGTATCTTTCCTAATCTCAATATATTTTTGGAAATATTGATTACTGTATTGAATCGTATTAATTACAATTGGTTACCATATTAATTATTGGTTAACCGTATTTATGAAAAAATAGTAGACATTATTTATTAACAAATACATTAAGAGTATTTATTAATAAATACCATTTTCGGTATTAAGAGTATCTTTGGTAATTTATTAATAAATACCATTAATATTTATCAAATATAATAAATTACCAAATACTGTTAAATGTATAATTAGTGTCAATAATTACTGTAATTGATAACTATTGTTATTTTACCGAAATTTGATAAAAATTATTAATAAAGTTACAAAAAAATACTATAATTTTGGATACTTTTTTATTTAATAATAATATAACTGTATGTATTTATGGTTATTTTTAATTATTTGAGTGACGTTTTTTGTACTTTTGGTATTTCTTGAAGTATTTATGGTAATTATTTTTATTAATAAATACTGTTATTTATCAAGAAAAGTAGACATTTTCAAAAATAGTCGTAAAATAATTAATAAATAAGGATTAAATCAATTACCATTATATTTATTAAGAGTATTTATTAATAAACACCATTTTCGGTATTAAGAGTATCTTTTGTAATTTATTATTAAATACCATTAATATTTATCAAATATAATAAATTACCAAATATTCTTAATAAATATAATTAGTTCCAATAATTACTTTTTTACCTAAATTTGATAAATATTATTAATAAAAAGTACAAAAAAATCCTACAATTTTAGATAGTGTTTGATTTAATAAATAATATAATTGTATTTATATATAGTTATTTTTAATTTATTTTCAGTGATTTTTTTTTGTAATTTTAGCTAATACTTAAAGTACTTTTTTGTACTTTTGGTATTTTGAAGTATTTTTGGTAATTAATTTTATTAATAAATACTGTTAATACTGTTATTTATCAAAAAATAGTAGTCATATTCAGAAATTATCATAAAATTATCAAAAAATAACCCTATTTATTTAAATCAATTACCATTATTTTTCTTGAGGATATTTATTAATAAATACCATTAATTTTTATCGAATATAATAAATTACCAAATATTGTTAATAAATATAATTGGTGTTAATAATTATTGTTATTAATAAAAATAAAAACCAACCTGTAGGTGGACCCGGTTTTGCAGAGGTCGTAGGTCACTAATTTGACCATCTAGGTTGAACAAGTCAAACCGTTCCACGTCAACACTCTATATATTTAAATAAGTATATTTATATGCATGCATAAATGTGAATAATGTACATATATGCGTGCAAATATATGTTTTATCAATACTTAGTGTATAATTATGTTTTACATATAGTATATATATTATTTTATATTTAATTTATATTTTTTATTCAGTTTTTTATTTTTTATTTATAAAAATATTAAAAATTATGATTTGAGGCCAAAAAAGTGTTTTTTTTCACGAAAATAGCGAGGCAAGGCGCCCATGGCACCTTGGGATGCATGGATTTTGAAAAGTTACCCAAAATCAAAAACAAAAAAAAAAAAGATCACCTCAATCAGACATCTAAGTGCAAAGTTATGGCCTTCGAAAGATTGCACATACTAAATGGGTCAACGATTTAACCATCCGGGTCAGATCATTTTTTACCAAGTCAACGGTGTTTAAGCAAAGGGTGGGTTTCAACAAAATTGGATTCAGAATCAAGTTAAGGTGACGGTTCGTACAATTTAACATGCTAGGTCGACAACGAATTGAAAACATTGATATCATTTTAGGTCGATTTTCAATTTGGTCAATCAATTCAAAAGAAACTTAAATAATTAAATTTAAATTTAAAAAATATATATATAACAATATTATTAAAAATAATTTAAATTTTAAAATATAAAATATTTTAGACTAAGAAATATGGGAATTTTCTCACTTTTAGGCTAAGAAATTTTGGTCAGTTTACAAATGGCCAAACTGAAACCAACTCGACTTGGTTAGGTTGGAAAATTATTGAACCGAAGCCAATTGGAAGTACTAGAAAATCAACCAACTCAGGTCAAATTGGGTCAAGATGGTCAGTTTCATCAATTTAATGAA